CCGCAATGATTAACAACTGCTGTTCCCCCTCCAATCGTACCACATTGCGTATGCTTAATGAGCGCACAGTTGAAACCTTGAAATGCACTTAAAATTCTTGGCTTTAGCATTTTGACACCGATTTTGGTTTTTGTTATCGACTTGTTTGGCTTGTTGTACATGTGTGTGTGTGTGTGTGTGTGTTCCGTTTTTGTAAATGTGAAAATTGGCACACGTGCTGCACTCTGCATACTGCATTCTGCGGTTTTCTAAATAACTCGCCAGCCGCATTTGTTGGGTTTACAGTTCTGCAGAGAACAGCGGCCCGGCTATTTCTATGGCTGCCCTCTAATCACATGACCCACATATTGTCTTTGAGCTCCGGTCAAGCTTCAATTTGTTTTCACTATTTTCTAGTTGTTCAGATCTCAACACACTGAGCGCACTTTCAGCCCATTTGTGCCGTCATTTGAATTTCCTCATTTCACACATTTCTCTTGTAACCTTCAGATGGTTTTTATGGCTTAGTTTATTTATATGAAACATTTCATTATATTTAAATTTCATTTCTCATGCAGCCAAAATACTAAAGTAAATTTGTATTTTAACTCCAAAAGTTATGTAACTCTTTGTATAAATATTTTAAATTACCTTTTCGACAAAAAACAATCGCCTGTCAATATTTGTGCCCCACAGCATGGCTCTCTCTGCTGCCATTTGCACCTATAAGTTTGCACATTCAATTGCCAGCTTAACTCAGACAAACCCAATATGAAAACAATTTTTACTTCTCTTTGTGGGGTAGGCAAAAAATCAAAATGCTTTAAGCGCAAGTTAAACAAATTTCACACAAATTGCCTACGTATTAAATATAAACTTTATACATGAATAAATTTTTATAGCTGTTTTAAAATTAAATTTAATGTTCAATTTATCATTAAAGGGCATTAGTTTAGGATTAAAAGAAAAAAGACTTGAGTTTTTCTGAAATTTTCTATTTATATATTTTTTTTCAATATAAATTTTTTTTTTTTTTTTGCCAAATTCCCAATTAATTAAATAATTTATATATATATATATATATACATATTCTCTATTTTCCAAGCAGCTTTGGGGCAGAGCAAACTGAAAACCAAGAAAAAAGAAAATGAGAATGAAAATTAAAGGCAAAAAATTGCGCATGGAAACATCGATTATACAGAACAAGAAACGGGAACACACGCACACAAAAGCAGCAACAGCTGTGCGTGTGTGTATGCGTGTCTCTCTGTGTGCGTGTGTGTGTTGTGCGTTTGTATTTTTAGTAAACGCATCGTTTCACATTGTTTCTTGTTATTATAATTGGTTTAGCACAATGTGAGAGTGGGCGTATTAGTTAATGGATACCTAAAGTTGGCAGGTGAACTAATTATTGATAAGAGTATATAAGATGCGATATAAGATAATGCTATGATATAGGAAATGAAGCGCAAAATAATTTTTGTTTAATAATTGCTGACATTTTTTATAGTGTGTAGAGTAGTCAATGCTAAGAATGCATTTCTTATGAGATTTTGTAGTTTCATTTGAGGTTGAGCTTCGATTCACAACGACAATATATATTTATACAGCAAAAATGGCGTTTATTATTATTTTCGATATTTAAATAAGAAATCCTTGTAATGGAAGAAAATCGTTTCTTCACATTGAATTGTACATTTATTAATTACAAATAATTGTTTTATTATAATTTATTATTTATTTATATTTTATCTTTACAAAGTGACACATTTAAACATTATTCAACTCTCACTTCAGTTAGGGTATTTCTATGTTTCACAAACACATCAAAGTTTCCTTTCCATTTTGTTCATATATATATACATATATACATACATACATATATATATATATTTATTTTTTGCTACCTGTTTTATGGCTTTCGGTGTAAGCACAGCACAAGCTGCATAAAATGTTGGCAGCCTTTGGGGCACGCCAAATTGTGGCAGCGACAACAACAACAACAACAAAGGCAGCATAGCAAAGCTTTAGGCAACCAAAAATAAAGCTAAATTAAATTTGTGGCTTCTGAGTGTGAGTGTCGCTCGAGCTGCTGCTGCTGTCGCTGCTGCTGCTGCCGTTGCTGTTGCTGCTGCTGCTGCACTTAATAATTATAATTAATGCAAGAGTCAACAATTGTGCAACGCTGGCGATACTGAAGGTGCCTTGCAGTGGGCGTGGCTGGGCACATTGCAAGCAGCCAGCTGCTGTGCGCAGCACACAAAACTTTAGCCAAAGTTACTTTGTAAAAGCTTTGTTTCAATATGCCATCTGAAGGTTTCATAATTTTTTGTCACTAAATTTATAGAAGGCAGTGTGAAGAGTGAGAGAGAGAAATGCCTTAAAGGCAGGCATATACATATGTATATATATTTAGTTTGTCAAACTTCTTTTTGTACTGCTAATTATTATAATTTAAGCCCTACAGCTGTGTCAACTGGGCAATAGGTGTACAAGGCAGCGTACGGAGCTTTGCTTAGAACTTAAAGAAGCAAACAAAAAGTTATACAGTAGCTGCCACGAAGCAGTGCATAATATGAACTTGACAGCTTGAACTCTTGATGGCAATTTAAAGAGGTTTCTCAGTCACATATCTAGCAGCTCTGCTCTTCTCATAGAGAGCAGGCGTGGCTATATCTGGCCTGCTGTTTATTGATCCATCACAGTCACATTACCAACCAAGACAGTTGAAGTTGATGCACTTGTGGTTTGACAGAGAGAGAGAGTGAGAGAGTGGGAGAGGGAGAGTGGGTGATCGGGCTTTTAAGGGCCCAACAATTGATGTGCTGCTGCAGTAAATTGGTTACAAAGTCAAATGGGGTCGCCTTGGTGCAGGTGCACAGCAGCGGCTGCTCAAAGCCAATTGACACATGTTGCAGGCACGCAATGCTTGACTCTGCCAGGACATTGAGTCCTCAGTTTGCGGTGCAAAGTGTCATTACGCAGCTGCCCCCCTCGGCATGCTACGCCGACTTCAACCTCTTAGGCTTCAATGCGCCCAGCCCTGTCTGTGTCTTTGGCACTTATATCATTCTGTCAGTTTGTCCGTTTGCGTTTTAATTAACTTACATCAGCTTAATGAACTTTCTCAACTGAGCCCAAAGTGTGTGAGTGTGTGTGTGTGTGAGTATGTGGCAACTATGTCATTAGCATTGGCAAAGCCTCAAGTTTCTGGCTAATGGACGGGGCATGCTAGCTGAGCCGTACTACTTTGTTTAGAATTATTATTTGCCAGATCTTTCCTTTTATCATATAATCTATACTTGACATTTTCATTACATTAAAATGCATGTATATTTGTATATGCTGCGAATTTACTTTACACTTAAAGAGAATCGTGCATGCCCAATTTATAAAATCTGCAGCCGGCAATGGTGAAAACAATCTGAACAACTGAAATCGAAAGAGAAATGGATTATTAATTCGGAATCAAATCAAATGCAATTCGGATATTTCAACTTACTTGGCAGATATACGAGGTATACATAGAACACAGGCATTATGCAGCTACTAATGAGGCCAAAAATGAACATATGGCGTTCTTGCTGATCAGAGATGAAGATGAGAAAGTTTAGTAAATTATGAATGCATTCAAGTATGTGAATTTGATTTACATATATCAGTGATATAAACATCATGATCCCAGAAATAAGATGTACCACAAGTATTATCAGCAATGCCCATTTGAATTGTTCTTGAAATTCTAAAGATAAAGTAAAAAATAAATAAATAAATCAAATTTTATTAAATTATTTATAATTTTGCCACTTACGGATGGGATATAAAAATAACGCTAATATTCCTATTACCGCATGTAAAATGGTCCAAAAGACAAGAAATTGAACTTTCACCTGTAGGGGGCAGGAGCAGTGATCCAAGCATGCACAGGCCTGACAGAGGCACATGGTGAGAGAAATTCGATATTGTTAAAAATAAATTTTAAAATTTAATTAAATATTATTTGAGTAGTATTAAGAATCAAATGATTCATAAATTGAATTTATTTCATTTATATACTATACTATTTACTATGACAACTATTCCCTAAGCTCAAAATTTAATTTTGATTTGTTTTCTTTTTTTT